GATCTTGTCTACCTTGATACTTCAACTACTACTACTAACACTACTTCAAGTACTGCAATCATAACCACTCTGTCTCATTGGGTTGTTAGTATTACAGTACTACTACTACTACAACTCCAAATTCCTGTTACTTTGATAAATACTACTACTGCTGAAATACGGCCAATACGAGTACTATTCCTTATACTTAGACTACTAGTATTTCCACTACTATCTGTGCTACTACTATGAATACTACTGGTATTCAGTGGTGTATAAAGTACCCAAAAGCCATACTTGAGTAAAAGTAAAGATACCTTACTGGAAAACTACTCCAGTAAAAGTAAAAGTCACCTATTAGAATACTACTTGAGTAAAAGTCTTAAAGTATCTGATATTTATTGTACTTAAGTATCAAAAGTAATTTTCTGATATTAAATGTACTTAAGTATTGAAAGTAAAAGTACAAGTAAATGCTGTTAATAAAAAAGCAAAGGGTCAGAATTATGATAATTATGAAGTTTATTCTTTTAAGTGCTGTGGCACCATGACCAAGGACATGGAGCTGTGTTGAACATAATTGGGTTGGCTGTGATCCATCCAGGAGCAACAATGTTCAACATAATATATTGTACATAAGTATACTTTTGCATCTACTATGAACTTATCATCATAATTCTCCGAAAAGCAATATGACACTATGAAGGAGTTGTAACTGTGCGTTTATAAGTATGCTCATTCTGACTAGAGGATGTAGAGGCCAAAGGCATCATATTGTGTTCAGCAGAACATATCCACTTGATGCATCAGGTCAGTGTTGTGAGAAAGGACGCCTGCCTTGTAAACTCCTATGGGCCTGATTTGAACACAACAGACAAAGGTTTTGCTCAAGCTGAATCTGCAATTGGGCGACTGCTACCATCATAACTCCATCTGATCATCCACAAAATGACTCAAATATCAAAACATGATCAATACTAGAGCAGCACCGAAAGTAACAACCCAGTCATTACTTGAACCTGAACAACGTCCTGTTCATCTTCAAAAGAAGTTGGTTTTCAAAATTGCGAGAATTCCGTCTCGCTCTTCTTGATAAAAGAGGAACATTTGTTTCTTAGTTGCCTAAACACGAGCCAGTCAGTGGCAGAACCTGTTGTTCTTGCCTCATGAATACTGTGTGTAGATCAGAGGAGAACCAGGGATCGTCACCTCCCTGTACTCTGTACCTCCTGAGAGGAGAACCAGGGATCGTCACCTCCCTGTACTCTGTACCTCCTGAGAGGAGAACCAGGGATCGTCACCTCCCTGTACTCTGTACCTCCTGAGAGGAGAACCAGGGATCGTCACATCCCTGTACTCTGTACCTCCTGAGAGGAGAACCAGGGATCGTCACCTCTCTGGTGATGATCAGCTCTATCCTCCTCCAGTTAAAGTTAAACTAATCATGATGAAACCCTTGTTCATTCAAATGTTTAAGATTCCTCTTATAAATGATACGTGGTTTTAATTTAGGGACCTTCGTGTTCCTGTTTACAACACAATGATCACTGAGGTCATTACAGAAAACATCAACAGCTGAGAAGTTATGAGGAACATCAGTTAAAATCAAGTCAGTTAATGTGGACTTCTCAGAGCACTTGAGATGTGGACGAGTGGGTGAGTTCATTAACTGGGTCAGACTGATAGAATCACAAGAAGATCTAAAATCATGAGACACAGGCTGAAGCCCATCCCAAATAAGATCTGCTGCTAGAACGACCTCTCATGATGTAGTGAGGATAGAAGGTGCATCAGTGACTGGAACGCCTCGTCTGAAGCGTATGGAGGCCTAGAACACCCAACAACGCTCACACAAAGGTCACACAAAGGTCACACAAAGGTCATGCAACGCTCACACAAAGGCCCTGAGAAAGTTCAACATCCACTGACAGAAGTTCTAAATGCTTGCAAATCATTTAGTCCCATTACAATTTAATTAATCACGAGTCAGATCATAATTAAAGGGTTCATGATGGATTGTATTGTTCTACATTGTGTGCTGGAGACTCTTCTTCTCTATTAAAACACTTAAATCCACTTTTAATGAAGATTTAACGGCTTGTTTCTCTTAAAGTGAACCAGTTCTAGTGATCCATTAAAGCTTCAATGAGACATGTGACCAGGTCACATGATCAGAGTCAGCCAACCAGCCTGAGGATTAAAACTCACATTTTAAAATGTCTCTTCTTCGTTGGTGTCGTCCTCGGAAATTCGTAAACGTGCAGACCCAGAACACGCTGGAGAGATTACATCTCCCAGCTGGCCTGGGAAGGCCTCGGGATCCCCCAGAATGAGCTGGAACATGTTGCCGGTGAGAGGGAGGTCTGGATCGGCCTGCTTGACCTGCTGCCACCGCGACCCGACCCCGGATAAGCGGTGGAAAATGGATGGATGGATGGACGTCCTGAAACCTGAAACGTGCAGAAACAGAGTGGACTGAGACATTAACAAGATATCGTGTGTTTCTGTGAAGAGCTCAGCTGGCAGAGAAGCTGATCCACCATCTTGAAGGTTGTAGGTTCAAATCCCACTGGTTACGCTGGTCTGTTTCCTGTTGTGAAATGATCCCAAGCAATAAATACGTTACATTGTGAAATGTCTCTTATTGTGAAAAGCTTATTGGTTCGGGTCATTTTACAAGAAACATATATCTATAGATATAGATATATGTTTATACATGTAGAGGGAGAGAACTCTTCTCTGATGAAGGAGAAGTTTCTTTATCTCTGATCACAGCTGGTCCAGAGGAGAAGGACTCAGACCATCCACGAGGAGCCGTGGGTTCGATCCCCGCCTGAGGTACGTCACACTGAGTGTGTGTGTCGGTTCCGTTCTATAAAACAAACAACAACAACTCAAAAACTTCAAACGTTGCGTTCATCAAAAACAAACTCCGTTCAAACCAAATCCGTCTGTAGCGAATTTCCAACGAGGGCGACAGTAACGAAGAAGAGACATTTCAAAATGTGAGTTTTAATCCTCAGGCTGGTCAGCTGACTCTGGAGCTGATCATGTGACCTGGTCTCATGTCTCACAGTAAAGGCTCTAAAGACCTGAAAGAAGAACCAATCAGAAATCCTCTCACAGGTAAACTCACCTGTCAGGTGGTTTCTTCTTCTTCTTCTTCTTCTTCTTCTTCTTCTTCTTCTTCTTCTTCTTCTTCTTCTTCTTCTTCTTCTTCTTCGAACTAAACACACATGTTCTTAAATATTGTTTAATTATTATTAGAATAGATTTAATTGGACAGTACACATTAAAAACAGACCTACATGAAGTCTGACACACACAGACACACACACTAACACACACATGCACACACTCTCTCACACACACACAAACACTAACACACAGAGACACAAACACTAACACACGCACACAAACACTAACACACACACAGACACACACACACACAAACACACGCACACACACTAACACACGCAGACACACACACACACTAACACACGCACAAACACTAACACACACACACACACAAACAAACACTAACACACACAGACACACACACGCACACACTCTCTGACACACACACACACAGACACACACACAGACAGGAAGTATCAGGTGTGTGAGAACCTTTATTTTCTCAGGATCAAACAGGAAGTAAACAGTAAAATAATCAGGTGCAGCGCATTGTCTCCACTTCCTGTCTGGGAAACGAGCACTTCCTGTTTGAGCAGCTGGAGGGTTAGACCTGATCCCAGACCAGAAAACAAATATTAAAACCCTGGTTCTCATTTTGGTCCTGGTCTTAATCTTGGTCCTGGTCTCCTCCTCACACATGTATAATTGATGGAGGTCTTCTCTGACCCCTGACTGACAACAGGAAGTTTAAACTGTATACAGGGAGTCCTGATCCAGGTCTATAAACCGCTTTAGACCCTGAAGACCCCTTTAGACCCTGTAGACCTATTCAGACCCTGTAGATCAGGGGTGCCCAATACGTGGATCGCGGAGGTAGTGCGGGTAGATCGCATGCCATTCAAAAAAAATGAGATGTCCGCATGGCATTTGCCACTTGATTTTCTAACACACGGGTCACCATGTATGCGCGGTCAACCGCGCGAGCTACCGCAAAACTCCGGCGAGCTAATTAGTTAGCCTTCCAATTTATTTCTACTGAAGAAGCTAAAGCGCCATGATTTGGGAAACGTCCAAAACCTCGCGTGAGAGCTGGAGACTCAACGGAAGGCGTGCGCGTAACTTGACAGTGCGCGCTACACAGAGCAGATTGACAAGTGTCTGTCAGAGTTTGACAAACGCTTTCGAGACGTTGCTTTACTCGAGCCAGGTGCTACACTTATGTGCTGCACATTTCGGGAAGATATTGAGGTTGATTCACTCGCATCAAAAATTGCCACGCTGTTTCACCTGAACTCGTCTGGAGTGGAGGATGAGATTCTGACACTGCAAGCTGACATTCAGCTGAAGTCCAGGGCTCATGGACAGTTTTCTCACAGAGCAAAAGTACCCAAACATGAGGACATGTGATCCCTTCTTGACTGCATTATTCAGCTCTTTATTTATGCGAGTCAGCCTTTTCCCACATGAAGAACATTCAGTCCAAACACCGTTCCACCAGGACTGCTGATCATTTGAAGTCTGCTTGAGGCGGGCTACCAGCAGCTACTGTCCGGACGATGCAACTCTGGCCAATCAGAGTAAGGTAATGACCAAACATGTTTTCATGTAGCTAGATCATTTTGACTTGGTCATTTTAAAAGTAGCTCGCAAGCCGAAAAAGTGTGGGCACCCCTGCTGTAGACCCCTTTAGACCCTGTAGACCTCTTCAGACCCTAGACGTCACACATATGTGACGCTATTTTTTGCGGGTTCAATAGAAACCCGCAGTTCTTTCTCACGTGCTTCACTTGTTTTGTCCCGCAGCTGAAAACCGCAATAAATCACCTCGAGCCTCTGTGGGCGTTTCTTCTTCTTCTTCTTCTTCTTATTTAAATACAGAGAGAGAAGAAGAGAGAAGGGGGTCTTCAGGGAGCCAGCCGCATCGGTCCGTCTCGCACTTGCCTCGCGCTATCAGCCGGAGACACCGTTAAACCCGCACCGGGACCCGGACTTCACCGAGAGGACCTGCACTCCCCCGTTAGACCCGTAAGTGTTGTCAACTCGTTAAATCGTGAATAAAGTGAACGTAGTCTGGTTCCATCGCTCACGTGACAGCAGGTACAGCCGGCTCGTGCCGCTTCTCACCGGACTGAAACGAGTCATTCTAACGTTTACACAGACCTCACGTCTTACGCACGTGTTATTAACATGATTCAGAGTTATGAGTCATCATGCATGTCCTCTGGTGTATTCGGCACGCGAGTCTTCACCGAACACCTGTTCATCTCAGTCAAATCTCACATTTAAATACAGTAACATGTGAGCCGAATCAAAGCGCTCGTTCTTTAAAAGTCGTAATAAATGTGTAATAAGCGGTTTAGAACATAAAAACCTTAATCTGCAGATTTTAACACTGAGTTTGAATGTTTTCATTAATTCTCACTGAATCTTAAAATGAAACAAATTGACTTAAATCATCTTTTCATACACAACGGGGTCAGAGATATGAGCTGAACTGTAGAGTTTGTTGTTTATTACATTCCTCCGTTTTAACTTGTTCACGTTTCTCGATGAGCTCAGAATCCTTAAATCGCCTGCGCTCGTTCCGTGCTTTATGGCCCGTTAAGAGCACTTCTTCTGTGGTTTATGGTGGTTTGATGGTGCGTTCAGGAGCCTCTGAATGAACCTCCCAGCTGCTGCTTCTTCTCAGAGCTCATTAACATAAACAGAGTAAACTAGAGTCTGAAGTTAAACATTTTATGTTATGAATATCTTTTTGTTCTTAACGTTTATTACAGATATTTATCTTTGACAGAAAGATTTTATTTTGAAGGTTGTGAGCCGCACATTTAAATAAAATAATACTTTAACGATGTTTATTTTTATGTTTTTCCTGATGAATGTTAGTGGTTTTATTGATTCATTATTCTGTCATTAAATATTATAAATATTATTATTATTATTTTCTGTCAACTAAATCAAAAAAAGCTCCTTTTTTCAGATCATTTTACTTCCTCGGAGTGAACTTCAATTGAACTGAATTCTTACTATTGATCACACACACACACACACACACACACACACACACAGAAGTCATTGTTTCCTGTCAGTTTCAAAGTGTTTCAGTTTATTAATGACGTCTGGATCGTTTCACCCCTGACCTCCAGACATCCGTCCATCTGTCTCTCTGTGTGTGTGTGTGTGTGTGTGTGTGTGTGTGTGTGTGTGGTCACTTTAATCAATAATCAACAGACGGTCTGTGAAGAAGAAGAAGAAGTCACTAACGGTTGTCTTCTTCTTCTAGTTTTCCAGGTTGTGACATCATCATGAGTCTGAGTGCCAGTGACATCGGCGAGCTCATGGAGCTATGGGAGGAGCTTAACCTGACGGGCGACGCCCACAACCTGTCCCACGTGGAGACGCTGGTGTGTTCGGGCACCGTCGGCCACGCCGCCTTCCTCCACGTCCTCTCCGTCCTCTACGTCTTCATCTTCCTGGTGGGGCTCGCCGCCAATGCCCCGGTGGTCTGGGTCAACCTACGGTCCGGCGGGAACCGCTACGAAACGCACCTGTACGTCCTGAACCTGGCGGTGGCCGACCTGTGCGTCGTGGCCACGCTGCCGGTGTGGGTGACCTCGCTGCTGCAGGGTGGCCGCTGGCCGTTCGGAGACGCCGCCTGCAAACTCACCCACCTGGTCTTCAGCGTCAACCTCTTCAGCAGCATCTTCTTCCTCGCCTGCATGAGCGCGGACCGCTATCTGTCCGTGGCGCGGTTCGCCAATGCCCCCGACGGCCGCAGGAGGAAGGTGGCGCGCCGGCTGATCTGCGTCCTGGTGTGGCTGCTGGCTCTGGCAGCCTCCGTCCCCGACACCTACTTCCTGCAGGCGGTGAAGTCGTCGCACCACGACGGCGCCGTGTGCCGGCCGGTGTACCCGGCGGACCGCCCCAGGGAATGGATGGTGGGCGTCCAGCTGAGCTTCACCGTGCTCGGCTTCGCCATCCCGTTCCCCGTCATCTCCGTCTTCTATCTCCTCCTGGCGGCGGCGATCCCCCCCAGCGCAGATCAGGAGCGCCGCATCAGTCGGCGGATCGTCCTCACCTACATCGCGGTCTTCCTGGTGTGCTGGCTACCGTTCCACGCCGTCCTCCTGCTGGACACGCTGTCGCTGCTCAACGTGCTGCCCTTCAGCTGCCGGCTGGAGAACTTCCTGGACGTGGCGCTGCACCTGACGCAGTGTTTCTCGCTGGTCCACTGCTGCATCAACCCGGTCCTGTACAACGTCCTGAACAGGAACTACCGCTACGACCTCATGAAGGCCTTCATCTTTAAGTACTCCACCAGGACGGGGCTCGCCCGGCTCATCGACGGCTCACACGCCTCAGAGACGGACTACTCGGTGGTGAACTCTTCTTAAGGAACCACCCATTGCGTGAGCCGGTGGTTCCTCCCAAGAACCTCCTCAAGGAACCACCACTGGACTCGCATCCCTCAGGGACTCAGCTGGTGAACTCTGGAACACTACTTAGTACTTAGACCAGGTGGACCACATCAGCTGCTGGTCCTTGATGGTCCAACACCTTGATGGTGTGGGTCGTGGTGGTGGACAAGACTCTCCTGATGTCAAAGCTTCCCGGGACTTGGGAGTACTTTTTAAAAACCTGGGAACTCTGTTTTGGGGATATCGTAGTATTTACTTCACTTCATGTATCCAGCAAAAGTTACTTCAACATTGAGTAACACTATCCAGTAAAGACATCATAGTATTAGTATTAGCACATTAACTCTGAGCTTGAAACCTGATCTGTATCTACTCCAGAGGAAACCACAGAAGAACTCCTTTGTTCTATCAAACCTGTAAATATGAAGTATTTTATATTCTGTGAATATATTTATTTTACTGATTTAGTTTCATGTTTATCTAAAAGTTTATGTTTTTATTAAAGTTTAATATTTAGTGTTACATTTTTAAACAACGTTATGAAGAAGTTTATTTATTTTGTTTAAATGTTTTTATATTTGGTGAAATTCATATTTTCTCTGAACTTTATTATGTATTAAAATAACTGAATACACAAGAAATGATTGTTTGTTTCTTATTTTCAGTCTCAGGTTGTTTAGATGTGATTTTTGTGTTTAATCTCGTCTCAGTAACGTGTACATGAACGCGTACATGTACATGATCATGTACATGAACGCGTACATGTACATGATCATGTACATGATCATGTACATGATCATGTACATGA